TGTATTCAACGTGATTAGGATAGATATATAGTACATTATCTTAATGAATGGAGGGATTAGTTTTAATGGTGTTTGTAAATAGGATATCATGTCTGCGTCTCGTACAGCAATTAACCACTAGGAAGAATGTTTGCAATGTGTTAATTATTGAAACTGTCCTACCAATTTGATTTGAAACTGTCTCATTGCTATTTGTTTCTCAATAAAATTATGGAAAAGAAAATTTCAACTGGTGGTATAAACAATTGAGTTTGGAACTTTGACAGTTGGGTTTTTGAGCATGGCTTTATCACTGGGTAACCATGACCTTGAGCAATTTATTTAACATCTATGAAATTTATTTTGCTCATATTTAAGATAAGATAATGGATACATTACAGCATTTCTGTTGAGGTGAATTACTGAATAGCAGGGCAGTGACCATTCCTAATCTGCAACACCATAAGTCACTCCATTATACCACTGCCACCACTTAAGTTCCCCTTTAGACATGCTATTTCTTCAAAGAACTTTCTATACTCTTGCTAAGAATAAAAATTAGTACTGTATTATGGAAATTCCTAAGGAGATTCCTCAAAAATAAGGTAAAGATGACATTTAATTCAGCTATATGCCTTGGAATATTCCTGAAAGAATTAAGGTCAGCATATTATAGTGATACATATATATATATGAATATTGTTTAACTGTAAACATTCATTATTCCATATCTAATCATAAAGAAGAATGCAATTATGTAATTTTCAGGAAAATGGATTGAACTAGTGTCCATGTCAAGTGAAAGAAAACAAGGGGCCGGGGAGATGGCTCAGTACAATAAGCACTTCCCTGGCAAGCACAAGGGCCCGAGTTCAATCCCTGATTCCACAAAAAGAAAAAGATAAAAAGAAAAAGAAAGAAAACAGAACTCAGAAAGTCAAATACAATGTATTTTCTCAAAGAATCTAGAAAAAAATAATTTTTGAAAAGAGAGATGACATGAAAGCAGAAGGAGAAACTACTAGATAAGAGGAAGGTTATGGGTGGGAAGGGCACAGGAAAAGGGTACATACAACAGTAACAGGGAATATAATCAAAGTGTGTTATATTCTTGTAGAAATATGCCAAATAGTCCAGTATTATATAAACCTAATATACACTAACAAAAAGTAAAAATTAAAAATATTTTCTCAACATGCATTTTTATGGGTTGACTCAAATACTATTTTAATTTCACCATCTCTAACAGTTCTACCTTTAAGAAACTGATATAGAATTATATCTATATATTTCTCTTTCAAAATAAATATTTATGATCAACCCTTATGATTGTATCTCCTTATTTTGTTTTAGATTACATTTCCTAGACATATTTTTCACATGAATTCAGTGAGGAAGGACAGTAAGTTTCATTATCAACACTTCTGGACAATAAGATTTCCTCTGAAAGTGGAAATTAAAATAGCCAAATATCTGAGGCTGCAAATCATACTACAAAGTGGCTAATAGACTTCAACCATCCAAATCTTCTCACAGTGCTCCCAAGCTTTTAGTAGGAAGCCTAGAAGTTATTTTTGCAGCCTCCTCTCTCTCTCCCCCCTATATCTAATTCAGCTAACCCTGCTGCTTCCCTCTGAATTACATCCCAAACATATATACTTATTTTCATCTCCATGATGAAGCATATGAACACTTACAATTATCAAGCCCTTCTCACTCTTGGGATCTCAGCTTGGTAACATTTCTCAGGGAAGCCTTCCGACCACCAGTCTAGCATAGATTTATTTAAAGTTTCTTGTAGTATCTTATTATTTTCCTTGAAATAACTTGTTTATTTTTTTTCTATATTTTTTTAGGGAAGGATCTACAGGGTGTTCAGACTCTCACTACTAGAACAGACTCATAATGATTCTCCTGTTTACAGCCTCCCAAGTACAGGTGCGCGCCACCACGCCCAGGCTCAATTGCCATCTCAGCATGTCCGGGGGCAGGGCCAGTATGGCAGGCCCAAGGATAGAACCCCCACCCCTGAGCCTGCTTGCAGACGTTTTAATCCACTGAGCTATTTGGTCAGCCCTAATGGATTTTTTTATAACTTATAATCACATTTGTTTATGTGTTTGTATATTCATTGGCTAGCAGTTTCTCCCTCGTAAACGGACTTCCAGTGATAAAAGATCATGCCTGCTTTGTTCATATCTGCATAGAGTTATTGGCCCATAATTGATACTCATAAACAATTGTTTCATGTATGAATGATCAGATTCCTTTAACTAGATAACAGATGTGGTTATATATTGTTTTGTCACTTTAAAAATTCACTGATGATACTAACAGGTGTTGGGAGCACAGGGGTCCCTTCCAGCCTCCTGTTATCCTGTTCAAAGAACTAAACAAAACAAGTGAAAAAACAGAGGTTTTACATTTTCTAAAAAGTATTCAAGGTTTTTCTTTTTTTCTTTTTTCTTTTTGGCAGAACCAGGGATTGAACCCAGACCCTTGCTCTTGCCAGGCAAGCGCTTATTCTACTGAGCCATCTCCCTGTCCTAAAGATTTTTCAAAACAGAGGAAAAGTTCTCTGAAAAGAAGTGCTTTGCAAAGGGCATGTGAGCCAGCCAAGGCACCGGATAGAGGTGGGCAGGCGACAAGGCTCACAGCAGCTACCAGCTTCATGGCTGCCTTCTTTTATACTCTCAGTCTGGTGTCAGATCTGGCCATCCCAACAAAAACCTACTAGATCTAGCACCAGAAGAACTGAAGGCAGCATTCTCCAATTGGTGTCAGGCGCAGGGCTCAGATGCTGCACAGATCACGTGCCCTTAACCTCTGAAATCAAGTCTCCCAGTCCCGCTCCACTTCCTCAGGGAAAGCGCAAACGCAGCCCCCACTACCACAAATTATGCAGTCAAGTTTCCCCCATTCAGGGAAATCCGCCGGCATCAGCACATCCGGAGTGCAATGGGTAAGCCTCACCCTGGGAAAACCGCCTTGGCGAGGGTGGTATCTCCCTGGGCAGGTTAAGTATAACGAGTCTTCGTGATTGACAGGTCATGCCCAATTGCTTTGCGGTGCCCTAGTCTCCTGCCTCAATATTAGTATGAGTTTCTCACCCATCTAAATTTTTAAAATAAAGAAAATAAATAGATAAAATTTCAAATTAGACAAAGGTAAAGCATAATGTTGGAAAAAGAGTAATAACAGTCTCAAATTCATAATTACATTACATGACTAAACTATTTTGTTAACTAATACATTCAATCAAAAGGGACCTGCAGGATGATGCAATGCTGGCTTCTAGAAAATTTCTAGAATAATGATAACAGCTAATATTTTTGCACTTATAAAATGCCAAATACAGTTACTGTACTAAATGATTTACACACATTTATTTCCTTTAATCTTCAAAATATCATTAACATTCTCATTTTGATATTAATAAACCAAAATTTAGGACAATTTAGGGAAACTTCCAGTCATGTAGATAAGAAAAAAAAACTTTACAAATATGGACAAAGTTTTGGAAACCCAGATAAATACTCAGTTCTATTAACTAGTCAAAGCACTGTTATATCTCTGAACCACCAGTTTCCTAATCTGTAAAATGGAGCTAGACTTTGGATGTTTAATATTTCATGATGATGTTTAATATCTGCTTGTTTATAAGATTCCAAAGTGAAAAGTATTACAGCCCAAGGTTGAGAAAGTCAGATGCCTCCCAGGTACGGAAGAGTTGTTTATTCATTTGTCCTCATGTAGCATGAAGATCAAGGGTCGGATGGAAATCTGAGCATGTCTGCTGGTGTGACAAATCAAATAATTAGCTTCTACAAGAAGTCCATGCTCTAATCTCTAAATCCTAGGAACATGTTGCATGTCATGCAAGAAGGACTTTGCAGGTATGCTTAAGATGGTTAACATTACTATAAAGATAATTATCCCAGGGTCAGCCAGATAGCCCAGTGGATTAAAGCACCTGTTTAGGCAGTCGCAGGGAACAGTTCAATCCCCAGTGTGCAGTGTCAGCCTGATCCCAGGGCACGCTGAGATGGCGATTGAGACTGAGCATGGTGGTGTGCACCTGAAATCCCAGCGTTTGGGAGGCTGAAAATCAGGAGGAAAACTATGAGTTCGATCTGGGTAGTGAGATCCTGTAGACCCTGTACTAAATACATTTTTTTAAAAAAAGACTATTATCCCTAGGTCATCTGAGTCAGCAAAATTTAATAATTTAAGTCCTTCAAAGCAGATAAATTTCTCCAGCTAGAGTAAGCAGAATAGTAGCAACAGAGGTAATCCAAAATGATGTCTCCTTATCTTTTGAAAGGAGCAGTTAATGCTTAGAACTTTTTTCTTTTTATTCTTCTTATTTTTTTGTCTTGAATCTCTTACAACTTTTTTGTTATTGTTTTATTTTTTTCTTTAAACCATCCTGTACATTTATATCTGGTATCCTAAACAACTAATTGGAAGATATCATCAGGCAAAACAGCAACCACTGTTGAATTCCTGTTACTTTGTTGAGTGAAATTTTGTATCATTTCTATTGCTGTTTTTTTCTATCGCTATTCTGTATTCTTTAAATTTTTTTTTAAAAAATTAGGAAGATTCAAAACATGAGAAAATTAATCTATCCTTGCTGTCTTTGAAAGGGATCACAGGCGAGGGGACGTAAGCAGCTTCAGACACTGAGAACAGTGGGAGGCTGACAACCAGAAAGGAAATAATGGCTTCAGTCCTACAAGCACATGGAAATGAATTTTACCAACAACCTGAATGATTCCAGGAAAAGACTGTCTTTCGAGCCTTCAGAAAGAACCAGTCTTTCTGGTATCTTGAATTTTTCACATCATGAATCATGGACATATCAAACCAGGCTGTTCCTGAATACATGACCTACAGAGCTGTAGGATAATAAATGTGTGTTGTTTGAAGGTGCTAACTATGGTAACCTATTATGGCTTCTCAGGTGGGGTGCTTGGGACATACTCAGTCCTTATAACACAGCTGTGTTCATAGACAGGAATTTGAGCTCTAATTGCTTCTCCTAACACTCTAAATTCTACACATTATATATGGATCGAAGGTTGATGCGTAAGCATTTATTTATTTATTTATTTATTTTGCAGTACCAGGGATTGAACTCAGGCCCTTGCGCTTGCCAGGCAAGTGCCTATTCATTCTACTGAGCTATCTCCCCGGCTTATTGAAACTATCCTATTAATCAGTTTTGAAACTCTCATTTCTATTTGTTTCTCAATAAAATTTAAATAAATAAATAAATATTAAAAAATAAAGAATGAGGAAAAATGAACACAGCCTCATATATTTGTGGAACAATATCAAAATAATGGCTATCCAAGATTTGGATAATAAAAATGCCACGAGGAGAGATACAAAAAAGGATCCAAAGCAATATCTGAAGCGCTAGAGGTACAAACCAGTGGTAGAGTGTTAGCCTACACGCATGAGGCCATGGGCTCAACTTTTAGTATTGCATTTTTATTTTCAGTACCAGGGATCAAACTTGGGACCTTGCACCTGCCAGGCAGGTGCTTAGGCCACTGAGCTATCTCCCCAGCTACGAAACTTTATTGAGCAATATTTTTAAAGTTCCCAATTATGATGAAAAACATTATTCTACACTGTGTTAGGAAGAACAATGACCCTCCACAGATATTCATGTCCTAATTACCAAAAGCTGTACGTTACTTTACATGGCAAAAGAAAATATATAGGTACAACTAAGTTCAGGTTCTGGAAATGAGGAGGTTATCCTGGCTTATATGTGTGGGCCCCAAGTAATCACGAGGGTCATTATCAGAAGAAGAATAAATAGTATTAGAATGACCTGAGAGGCAACTGAGGGATTGGAAGGTGTAGGAAGCAGCTACAAGCTATAGCATGCAGTCAGTGTCATAAGGCTTGAAAAGGCAAGGGAAAAATTCCTCTGAGGGCTTCTAGAAGAATGAGACACTGCTAATACCCTGCTGTTAGCCCAGGAAACAGATTTTGGAATTCTGACCTCCAAAGCTCTCTTAATCCAGTGTGTCTATGGTAATTTGCTCTAGCAGCAACAGGAAACTAGTTCATTTCCATGCAAGAATCTCAATAATGCCAAAATAAAATTTAAAAGATCTATACTTAGATATGTCATTTTCAAATTGTAGGAAGGGAAAAAAACCACAGAAGCAAACAAACAAAAAGCAAAACCAAAGATAAAATCCTAGTTTAAAAAAATACCAAAGATAAAAGTAGCAGGAGAAAATGACTCATCTCACACAAGGGATCATAAATAAGATTCACAGCTGATGTTTTAAAATCAGAAATTGTTGGGCCAGATGGCAGTAAGATAGCATACTCGAAGTTCTGAAAGGAAAAGACTCAGCAAAGAAGTCGATATTCATTAAGAGGAATTCTGTGTTCTTCAGAATGAAGAACAGAGGGATTTCTTTGGAAAGAGGCAGAAGTATCTTTCCCTTTCTCCAAGTAGAGATTTTTTAAAATGCTGATTATCCTGTTTTAGGAAACAGGAAAGAAGAAGAACAGAAGAAGGCAAGTTAGCCCAGGGCACAGGGAGCCTTGAACACGGGGAAAAAAATTGTACATGGCAGTGAGTTTTCTGAGTTTTAAAAATCAAACTGAATGCTCGTAACCTAGAACACTGACAATAGAAAAGAGAAAAGCCTTCTCTGTTCAGCTAAAGGAAGAGAAAAAGGACAGCATAGGAAAACAGAAGATTTTCAGATAATATCAGGTCACATCCAGCCAAACATCTCAGAAAAGAGCTGTAGCTCCACCCTCACACCTGCATCAAAGGGCAAGGGGGGAAAATAGACCAACAGCATCTCCAGGTGAGACTGTTCCTCATCCACATTTCCCTTGGAAAGAGCTTGGGCATCCGTCCCACTCAGTAGTAATGAGGAAATTTTCCACTTCTCAAAGCAAAGGGCAAATGAATTTTCCAGAACTTTCACCCCTGCTCAGTAGTAACAGGGGTACCTGCCATAGTGTCAGTGAAGCTTGATGAAGAGCAATAATGGGAAATCCTTGCCTTTCACAGCCCTAGGGGTGCAATGCCCCTTGAGGGAAGCTGGCTCTCCTGCTGCACCCCAGCAGTAATGAATGCCTCTCTCTACAACCAGGTACCAACATAGGCCAAGTGGGAAACCAGCGCTTCAACCTTATCTACCAGTGAGAAAGCCATGCCTTTCTCCCTCTACTTCACACTGGGGTGGGGTGGTATAAGTGACTGTACCCAGACCAGGAGGTTTAAATAGAGGGTCAAGTCATAACACTCAAATGTCCAGAATTCAAGGGGAAAAAAATTCATCATACAAGAAAATCACTGAGATCTCAATTTTAAAGAGACAATATCAAAATGACATCACCAACAAAAGGACACATGTTAAAATTATCTGGCAGGGCTTTCATATCACCCATGAAAAAGCAGCCTAAAAATGTCTAAACGAGCACGGCATGGTGGCACTTGTCTGTAATCCCAGTACTCTGAGGCACTGGGGCAGAAGGACTGCAAATCCAAGCCCAGCTCAGGCAACCTAGCCACTTTGCAAAATCCTATCCCAAAATAAAAAATGAAAATGACAGGGGAATGTGGCTCAGTGTCAAAGCTCTACATTTAATCTTCACAACTGAAATAAGACCAAAAAACAGAGAGAGAATGAGAATATAAATATGAGTGTTACAGATAAAAAATAAAAGATAAAGAAAAACCAAATAGAATTCTTCAGCGAAAATACAGCCTCCAAAATTTAAGAAATTCAGTGTGTGAGGCAAAAAGCTAAATAAACCTAAATTAAGGGATGGAGAGGAGTAAAACAATAGGGATTTCCCAGTCTGAGCAACAGATTAAAACTAGACTCAAAGCAAATAAATGGAGCCTCAGGGCCCATGGAATTAAAAGAAATGAGCTGGCATTCATACAGTTGTGGGCTCAGAAGGAGAGGAAAAACATGGGGCTAAAGAAGGTATTTAAAGAAATAAGAGCTGAGAACATGCCAAATTGGC